TGCAACTAATGTCATGATCTGCCTCAGTTTCAGTCGCGATCGAGCGAAGAAAGTCCCCGTTCGAGCAGACTTTTTCCCCCAACATGAAGAACAACGAAATACAATCTCATCACGGTAGTCTGCACACTTTACTAGTCATTTGATAACCGCAGTCACAGGTACAAGAACTTCTTGGTAGTCGCATATCTTGTAGCCTCTCAGTAATCACCTCTTCTCTAAAATCCCCTGTAAACCGATCGTATGTGAGCATCAGGTGTTGAACTTGACTCCGTGACCTTGAAATTGCTCAAACGCTTCTGATTGGCTCGTCTATGAATTAGTCTCGACGCAAAAACATTGAAGCGTGAGTATAATATAATCACAGCTCAAACTGAGTAACTTAAGACACGCTTTATTTTTAACAAAGACGGTGCAAACAGAAACGAGAATTATACGAATGACTAAAATTAATAAACTTCCTACAGACTCGCATATTACACTTGCATCTTACCTTGACCTTCAGTAACAAAAGTAAAAAAGCGCGATTCCAATTAGAGAATTAAAACTGTTCATCGGGTGTTTATACGTTAGGAAGAATAGTCAATCAAACCATATTTGAACGGTTATTTTCGATCTCAAGCGTTCAATATTTACAACTTTCACTTTGATTCTAACACAATGTTTAGCACAAATAAGTTTGTTGATCTCCTTTGTTCGTAATGCCTATCGTTAATTGCTATAAGCGTTGTCATTTTAAAGTACTCCCAAATTCCGAGAAGTAACAATAAGTGTTTTGCAGAAATATGCATCGTGACAGCACTGCTCATTTTCCTAGGTCCTCATCTGAATAATATGCGAAGTGTTCAAATGAAGAAAATACGACAACGCCAAACACTATGATCCATATAGCGGTCGAAGTTCTGGAAAATGTAGTTAAATATCGGGCATGCTTTTTCTAAAGACAGTTAAGAACTCTTGTTCCAGTGAAATTTTTTAATTCGCTGTTTTTGAGAGACTTCGTAGTAACTTGGCTCCAAAATTTAAAGTCACATCTCATCCAAGAACTCACAACATGGCTTAGCAGAGAAGTCCGACTTCAGGAACGACTTCTGTTAACGGAAGTTTCCACTTGAATCTGCGTATTTCAAGTTATCAGATATTAGATTGAAGATGCCTCAGATATTGATAGTTTGACAACGCTTTTACCAGTAACACCTAATATAACTCGTACCCACCAATGGAAACCAAAAGACAGAATCGAGGAGAATGGAAGGTATATTTGATGACTATCAGTATATCAAGAATCGTCTGATCTAGCGATTGCAGTAGATGTTGAGAACGGCGTTCCCACACGTGATCTAATGCGGATGCATGACCAAGCGCCTTCAGCTAGGTGAGTCCATTAAAACTAATGTGGTCAGCATCCAATGTCGAAAATTAACAGAACTATCTATTTCGGGGATTTATTTAAAGCTACAGATCACTCCCCCGTAGTGGGGTGATGATGACCCTAAGACGTGGCTAGCCAGAGATTTGAATCCAACGAGTTTTGTCGTTAGTAAACACTCTTCTGATAGCTTGCTAGGTTAAGCAGCTCCTGGTCGTCTTTCCCTACTATTAGTGACCACGAAGTACAATACAGTAAGAAAATAATGTACAATCAAAACTTTGGTTACTCGTAAACCTCATCGTTCTTTTTATCGTCTTTTCCAGCCGTTCTGGAAAAGAAAAAAAAGGATATGTAAGTGCATGTCGAAATAAGCTCGTACGCGCTTTAAGACACAAGATGGGCGAGAAAGTGTAAATAACGTAAAATTTTTTATGTTATATATAATGCCATGGAAAATCGAGATGAAACTAAATTTTGACTGGTGTCTTATGTGCAATAGTCGTTTAAATGTTCTGGAAATCTTACTTTTCTTCCAGAACGCGTCGTCTTAAGTTTATTTTCAGATACTGTCGAAGTATCGTCGTGCGTGTTGGTTGTCGGATGAGGTATTATAAGTGTCGGAGTCGTGTTGTTCGATTGTACCGAAGGAAAATCGACGTAGATAAGGTTTCCTTCTAAATACGCTGCTTTGAGGCAATCGATGCTGATGCTATCGTTGGTTCCGTTCTTATCGACTATATAGTACTTAGATTCACGTTGAAGAACTTTGAAGGGTCCTTCGTATGCTGATTCGAAGGGTCGTCGATGCGAGTCTCGACGAACGAAAACGTGTGTACTATATCGTAAGTCAGGTTGAACGAAAACATCGGTTGATTGAGGTCGAGTGGAAGCAGGTTTAACTGAACGCATTGCGTTTGTAAGCCTGTTCGTGTAGGAGGTTAGATCCACGTTCATTGAAGAGGACGAAGGATCCACAAATTCTCCTGGAAGTCGAAGTGTCATTCCATAAACGAGTTGAGCCGCAGTGTATCCAGTGTCAGCTTTCACTGCATTGCGGATACCTAGTAAGACGAGTGGAAGAGCGTCGGTCCACTGTGAAATGTTTGCAGCTGATAGTGAAGCTTTGAGTTGTCGGTGAAAACGTTCTACCAACCTGTTTGCTTGTGGATGGTAGGCGGTCGTTCGGAAGCGAATGATTACTAAAAGTGTGGCCACTGTTTCAGCAGTGATGTCCTTGATAGGTACTGCTTCTGGCCATCGAGTGAAACGGTCAACGCAGGTTAAGAGATAAGAGTATCCATTTGAATCTGGTAAAGGTCCTACCAAATCCAGATGAACATGTTCGAAACGAGCATCGGGAGTTTTAAATGAGCCTAAGGGACATTTATTGTGTCTGATAACCTTAGATTTTTGGCAGCTTACACAGGAGCTTGCCCACTCCCCCACGTCTTTATTCATACCAGGCCAGCAAAACCGTTCTGCTATAAGCTTGATGGTTTCACGAACACCTGGATGAGAAAGTTCGTGCAATGTATTGGAGACGTTGCGTCGATAATATTTCGGCACGATTGGACGATCCCTACCTGTAGATGTGTCACATAGTAAGGTTTAGTTACCTGTTCCCATCTGTTTAATGCATAGGTTGAGTGTTGTAGACGACAACTCGTGCTGAAGATCAGTGTTTTCTTTTTGAAGCTATGTGAGTCTCAGAAGGTCGATTCCTTGGAAACTGTTTAAGGAAGTTATGCGAGACAAGACGTCTGCGACCACATTGTTTGCTCCAGAAATGTGTTGAATATCTGAAGTAAACTGAGAAATGTAGTTTAGTTTTCAAGACTTACGAGGTGAGTGCTTGTCTGAAGATGAGCTTAAAGAGAAAATAAGCCGTTTATGTTCAGTGAAAAGAGTGAATTCATGGCCTTCGATATAGTGTTGAAAATGCCGTGCAGCACAACACATAGCTAGGAGTTCCCTACCGAATACGCTGCACTTCGTTTCGGTGTCTGGCAACCGTCTAGAGAAAAATGTCAAAGGTTGCCAGGACTTGTTAACCGATTGTTGTAAGACTCTTCCGACTGCCGAGTCGGATGCGTTTACTGCGATACTAATGGGTGCTTCGGTGTCCTGATGAGCAAGTATAGTTTTTTTAGCGACAAGTTCTTTAATTGTGGAGAATGCTTTTCGAGCGGTATCTTTCAAATTGATGGATTTCGCATTTCCACGAAGTTGGTCAGTTAGTGGTTCCATAAGTGACACGCAGTTTAGCATGAACGTCTATAGAAATTTACAAGGCCATTAAACGTGCGTATTTGCTTGACGGTGGTAGGTTCTGGGTAATCCTGAATGACCGCCACTTTGGTTCTAAGGTGTCGAATTCCTTGAGCATCGATGGTGTGTCCCAGAAAGTCTAATGAGTCGGTTCCAACTTGGCATCTCTGAATGTTTACAGTAATGACATGTTTTTGTAGTCGGTCGAAAACAAGATCCAGATGCTTGAGATGTGATTCTCTGTCCGGATTTGCTATTAGGTAGTCGTCAACATACGCATAAAGTCCAAAGAGAGTAATGATAACTATTTTCGGTTGCTTTGCAATAGGGATCTTAATTATTTTGGTGCTTTTGATAGTCACACATTAACTCACTTCAAATTCAAAAACGATTGCATTTGTCCACTGATGCTTTCTGCGACTTTGTTGTTGACATTAGCAGTATCAAGTCCGTCGTTTCTGTTGGAAAGTTGAAGTCATTAAGAACTCTAAATATAATACGATCAGTAGTGTACATTTACTTCTACTTGCTTCAGATTGCAATGTTTCGTGGATTCACATCTATCACAATAATCCAAATACTTCTAACCATCATAAAATTAAATATTGTTTATTCCGTCTTACTTGGAAACTATCTATCCACACACTTTAACTTCATTTCACACATCAGTAAATTGAGTCTATTGTGTAGGATTTTGTCACAAATTACATTAAAGTCGATGAAAGAGCCTGTAATAATTTTTAAACCATGATGAATAACCTAATGTTATTGCAGTTTTCATGTTGATGTCTCATACATGTTTTGAAGATAGAACTTACTATCGCGCTACTCCAACCACTTAGTATTATGCAATGGATCCCAGATTTATTAGTTCCATTAAGGTGTTCTCAAGTCAATTTACTAACCTGGAATGCATTTTATTGGGTTTCATATTGAATTTGTCTACTGAACAAACCGATATGTGAAATGAGGGAAATTATGGATGGAACTATGCCTTAAAATCAGTGGAAATAACATAAATCATTCACACCCACGTCTATAGATACATACTTCATGTACTACTATTACGCTCACCAGATACTTTTTTTCTTCCATCAACTCATTTGTTTCTCATTGTGGAATTGTGGTATTATACGAAAAGAGCTCCGCTTCTATGCCTGTCGTACATCATGAGAGTTGTCTTAATTCCCAATATCAGAAAGTAATCGTTAAGGCATTCATACATCTCAATCAGTACTCGTACACCCAACTAGAGACAGCCAAATAATTTTAGTATTACACGTTTTATCATATAGATGCATATTAATACCTAGTTCTGTGTGCCCAATTTGTACTGTCGGCAGTTTTCGGTTAGCAAAGAAATTAAACGTAGAAGCTATATTTAAATTACTACGGTAAAATAGAAATAATTTATAAAACAAAAGATTGGTTTCACAGGATATTTAACAGATCGAACAAATTAAGCGACCGACCCGGTTACAGATGAAATCGTAGAGGTCGGAACAGAGGAATCGATACATACAATTTTACCATTACTACGAAAATATATCTGGAATGTTTACAAACTTTCGTTTGTAGGTAGTTTACAGCATTTGTACACGCAAATGTATTCGAAATTAGACAGATTCTTAAGATAGTCATGAAAAAGTTATTAACAGGCGATAATCTAAACAGCAGATATCAACAGCTATTAAAAAGAATGACTGTCAACAAGTGATATGAGAATAATGGAAATACAAAATTAGGATACATTACAAATCAACAGAAGTTCAATGAACGCGTGAAAATAGAACTGTTACAAACATTAGGAAGTTACAATCATAGTAATAATCAAACTGAATACTAAAATTTTATTCATATACATAGAAAAGAAATTTCATGCTGAGCTCAAAATAACTGACAATAGAATCAGGAGCCTAATATTAATGAGTATAATAAACAGGGATGAAAATCATGAAAGGATTTGAATCCACCTGCACAAAAACACCATGCTTTTCCTTATTCTAACAACTTGACTGATAGTACATGACAGCACTCGACAACAAAAACGGCAGAATCTACCTGTGCCATGACCGCACCAACGAACATACACTCGAGAACTAATTAAGTGGCTTTTATGCACTGATGCATTTTTGCGACTGAACTAGTGAATACAACTGACTGGAAAAGTTTATTAATCGATTCAGATACAACATTGATTGAAACAGTATTGAGTGCTATTCTAATCAACTATGACTAAAAGCAAATTATAATGCTTGCTTATCACATAAGGCTAGACAACTTCCGGAAGTCAGTGACTAAATTTCAAACAGCATTTAAATCTGAAGTTACTCAGCTACAGGACTCTAAAGTCTTCTTCTTGAAATATAACATAATTGTCATTAATAAGCATGTATCTAAACGGTGTTTTATAGGCCAAAATTGTTGTTTCGTTTGATTCCTGTCTCTCTAACCAATAATAAGATCACCAAGTAAATCAGGTTTCAAATGTACACAACTCATGGAACGTGGTCACACCACTTCTAAGCATCGTGAAAATTTACTCGACTGAACCATCATTGTCAGACATTGCTCTCTTCCGAGCGAATTTCGTCATCGTTACATGTTTATTAAAGCGATAAGACAGAAGGCTACTGGCATATACGAAAAAAATAGTGTATGGGTAACTTACAGGAACTATTTACAGACTCTTATTATATATGCATTCCTATTGCACAACTGTTAAGTAACTAGACTACATATGTTTACATTTCTTTTGTCATAAACTTCTGTTTGACTTGTTTACTACTATTGTACGATTTACTATTCCTAAATCGTTCCAAATTTATTAGTTACAACCACTTCTTAACTTGGTCCTGTATAATGGTTCTTTGTTTTATGGCAAGACGTGGCTAGGTTCACCTGTACATAAACCATGTGCGTCTGAAATATATTATTCATAGAGTGGAGGCTGAGATTACTTTCTGGACTCAACGGACAGTGCTAGGCAAGAAGGACCAACAGGAGTTCAGAGTTGACACAAGTCTGCTAGTGCTGTTTTGACATGTCATTGGTTTAGCATAAGAACAAGGTAATATAAGTCAGTGTTCGGATTGGCGATTTTGTCACATGGTAATTAACAGGACGAAAGTCATAACAGAATTCACATACTGTAACATTTGTTTGACAAAATGGTGTATAAAAGACTAACTAGGTTGTGTTTGGTTGGTGATATATCGTCTAAGTACGTTGGCCCATCAAACAGATCCGACTATTAGATTAACCTGTGTATTCATGAATTCCATAGGACTGATAGGATGTATCATTGGTGAAACATCCTACCCTACAAATCTGTCAGACTGCAATGGATTTATACAGACTTGAATTATGGATACAGTATGGAGGTTGAGTTAGTTTGAGGGCACTTACATACGTGTTACGTGTTATTTGAGTATCTTCGAAACCGTCATTCCTCACTCTGGAGTGAATGTTGGTTGCTCATAATCAATCTGAGTAACGTGTACGCGTGTTATTGACACTTTATCAAAATCACTTGAACTGTATCTTTATTGTTTTTCTTCATGTAAGATAACGTAAAGTCCAGTTTAATAATGACTCTAGGTTCCTCGTACTGGTCAACACGCCATTGGTTTAGCAGAGTACTAAGATTGTATGAATCGTGTTCTGATCGGCGAACTTATCGCGTGCGAATTGACAGACCACATATCATAACAGCTGGTAGCGAATTATTCGCAAGGGACGAACTTTGTTATATGTGATACCCGATACTTTTAACAGATCTTTGAATAAAAGGTAATTAACGACTAACTTAGGACTCAAAAGGTGTGTTGGATATTAGCTGTTTTTTTAAATAGGGGAAAAAAACAAAAAAGAAAAACTTCCAAAACCTGTACAATGCGTCAACGAAAGATCAAATCACTAACTGATAAAAGACCCAGCTTAGTAGATGAAGTTAATGTACTTTCCATAAGATAATTTCGGCGTGAAAGTGTTGATGGATATTTGTCCATATCCTATTAAATGAGACGAAGATAAAAAAGATTTAACTTTTAGAAATGAAAGGTGGAAGAAAAAATTTAATTACTTCACGATAATGGTTAAATAGTCATAAACCAACGTAGATTATTGCCGATATGGTTAAATCTTCACGAAATATAAAATATTCAACAAACCATCTGCTCTAAACCAATACAAATATGACAGCCGAAACCACAAAATTAACCAAAGTCACTAGGTATTACTAATAACCTATGACTGAAAATGATTTGAAGTGCAGTTGACAATATAACTTAGTTATAAGAAACAATAAAAACTAACGAATAGTCATGAAAGCACGACCTTCGCGACTGACAAAAGGCGCTAAGGTGTCTAAGCCACGACATTCCACAGGACTATGAAGTCGGATGGCACGCAGATGTGTGTCACGACCATTTTGATGGTTAGCTGAAATGGCAATCTGTAAAAGAAAGGTTCGTAACGGAGATCCATCAGGCCAGTTTAGTGGAATCACTGACCACCCAGTAGGTTCCTGTAGTTCCACCTCTAGAAGTTCGATAAGATCGTGTATAGTATTCCCAACTCGTATGGCCAACCTGGGAAAGGAAATTAAAAAATCGACAATGTAGTTAGTAATGGTAAGATTCATTATTATATCTTATCAATAGTAACAATAAAATAAAGGTAAAAACGGATCGGATGATGTGACGATAAGCAACTAACAGAAAGGCTGTAATAAACGAACACTCACGTGGACATAACCAATTTATTATTTCATATGAAATTACAGGTCCTTGTAAAATATGAAAACCATACATTAAACGCTTCATTTGCAAATCTTCCGTCAATTGTCCTTTACATTCTCTTTGATTCATCTAACTCACAGTTCCTTTCTATTTCCCTTTCTGTTTTCTTCAATCCAATCTTCTTAGCCTTCTGCTGCCAATCCTCCAACTTTTGATTGGTGCTACATGCTTCTTATGTCGACAGAAATAAGTAGCATACACGACGTATTGAGTGTGGTAAGGAAGATATTAGGATCGCAGTAATGCTACGTTGACGAAAGCAAGCTCGAGAGGAATAAACGTCCTGGGCTCTGATAGATGAATATAAAACATGTTCCCTTTTATTCACAGTTTGCTGGCTGAGTCGAATATCTAATGCATTACAGTTGTAGATTTCACCAGGGTTCTGATACACTAATTATAGTCTATCGCCCCAAAGCCGAGTTAGAGTCCATGCGAACAACCTGAATTGAAATGCAGATATATCCACCCGAAGATTCCTAATACCCAAATATTGCTATCTGAACCTAAGTTATTTAAAATCCTGAGTAAATACACTGTTTACAAATTACTCAAACCGAATATAATTCCTCATCTAGTGTTATTGCATGCACAAATTCCGGTAGCCAATGAATCCCCTGATAAACTGTTAGGAAGGTATTTGAGTGAGATATAAGCTCAAACATCTGTTTTTATGTTTATTTTTTTGATAATTTTAGTGACGTATAGAAGTTATCTACTACATTGACTACGATATTTATTGTCATGAATTATAATGCTCACACAATTTATATTATGAACCTGTATATTCACAAAAAATATTATGTGAGATCAGATTTTACTTTATACACTGACCTACTAGGTGTATAACTTTCATCAACTTTGTAATCAGTGTATAAACATAATTTTGAAAGAACCATTTTTCGGGGAAATTGTATATTAACACAATGTGGTTGTGGACCATCTGATTGCCAAAATGTATCAGTAGATTCACTCAACAATTGGTCGATACCATGACCTGGTTTGCATGAAGAAAGACTCCAAACAGCATGATCACATACATCACGAACCTTGTGAAATTGAGAAATAATTTTATGAGTAAGCTACTGATAATCAAAATAAAGTAGTTATAAAATACACCATAATAATTGACAACTACAGAAGTATCAGAAGGGGTTTTGTGGAGATTGTAGTAATTTCCAATAGTTGAGATCATGAGTTAAATGAAGCTAAACCACTATGGAAAACCTAGAGGCGGGGTCGTGGATGCGCACTGCTGAGGAGTCCCACAATAGGACGAAACGATCGTCCAGTGTTTCAGGTTTTTCATGGTGGTATAGCTTCAATCGACTCATGATCTCACCTATTGAAATAACTACAGAAGTAACATAACAAGCACAACCACTTTATAGCTTTTACAAACCTTTAATTTCTCACTCAATAAAATACGCCCTGTTTTAGCTATCAAATAATTTCTTCTTACAGGTAAAAAAAGAAAAGATGGTAATTAATTCTCTTTCAATGGATTACATTATACCCAACACCTCAAATAATCGATCTATAAAAGTGATTTACCGAACTTCTATCAGTTACTCAATTCCATCCGTAGCCCTTCAAGATTTAGTCCTGGTTTGAAGCCCGAAATGGACAACAACGGGTATAAAGATACCATGAGATGACATGGACTGGGAGAAAGGAACGAGAATGGTGAGAGATTCACAAGTTTATGTGCATTCAACCAAATGATAATAGGCGGCACAATATTCCTACAAAAACGTGTACACACCCTAGACAAGATTAAAGGAAGAACAAGAAGATAGTAGTTAACAACAATCGAACAAGAACAGAGAAAATCAAGGCACAAACCAAATACACAGAAGCAAACAAGAGAGTGAAGAGGAGCATTAAAGCTGATAAGCTGAAATACGTGAAAGACATAGCAGCGACAGCGGAATAAGCTGCAAACGAAGGAAATATGATACAACGAAAAAACTAGCAAGGAAACATAATGAATCAGAGCGACTAGTCAAAAACAAAAAATGCAGGACAGTCACTGAGATTCAAGAACAAGCGCAATAAATAGGTAGAGAACTTTGAAAAATTCTTGAATAGACTAGCCCCAAAGAACCCACCAGACAATGAAACAGCACACACAAGTCTACCTATATATGTCGCACCACCAACAATCGAAATCAGGATGGTCATCAGACAAATAAAGTGTGGGCAAGCAGCAGGACCTGATAATATAGCACCTGAAGCTCTGAAGTCAGACATAGAAGCAACTGCATACGTGCTTCACGTTTTATTCAGGGAGATTTGAGAGGAATAACAAGTGCCACAGATAGACTGGGAAGGACTGTAGAGGCAAATTTCCCTTATATCTGACTGCAATAAATGATATCCCGTTAACTAAGTATTTAACGCTGGCTAAATCTCCTAGTACAGTTATGGATTTACTCGAGATTATTCAGAAGCCTGAACACCAGTTGTAGAGGTATTTTATTGTTAAAGATGAATAAGATCCGCAAGCGTACAGAAAGCAAGCACACAGTGAAACCAAGAATGTGTGTATCTGAGTGTTAAAAATCCATATATATTTATGAGTCATAATCAAGTGTGAATAAATTATTGATTGTCTGTGTATTACAACCAATGGGAGAATAGATTAAAGTTGATGTGCAACATGTGTTCAATCAGACGCACACAGAAATTTACATAGTGGATTAAGTGTGTAAATTACAGTGAGCACATAAATGATACAGTAGTTGAATGGGCTTACTACAGGACACCTCATCAAGATACCAAAGAAAGGTGATCTGAACAAATGTGAGAACTACACAGACATCACACTACTGTCAGTACCAGAAAACGTTTTCAAGTGTTGCTAAACCGGATGAAAGACGCAGTAGACATCCAACTTCTAGATCAACAGGCTGGATTCCGTAAGGATTAGTCGTGCACAGACCAAACAGCGATAGTACGGATCATTGTTGAACAATCGGTTGAATGGAACTCGTCACTATACATAAACTTCAATGACCATGAGAAGGAAGTTGACAGCCCGGATAGGAGAACCGTATGGAAACTTCCTAGACACTATGGTGTACCTGAGATTTTCAATTTCATACGACGGACTGCAGTGTAAAGTAAGGCATGCAGGAAAGTTGGCAGATGCATTTCAAGTGAGGATTGGAGTAAGGCAAGGCTGCTTACTCTCTATCTCCTTCCCTTTCTTCCGATGGTTGACTAGATTACGAAAATCTCTACATCAAAAAGGAAGCACGAAATACAATAGACAGATTAGATACAACTAGACGATTTGAACTTCGTACATAACCCAGCTCTTCTATCTTATACACACGAACAAATACAGGTGAAAACAACTAGCATAGCAGCGATCTGTGCATCAGTAGGCCTCAAAATACACAACAGATAAAGCAAGATCCTGAAATACCACCCAACCTCATCGCACTTAATGCAGAAACAATGGAAAAGGCGGAAACTCAGCATCATAGAAAAACAAGGAGGAGCTGATACACATGTAAAGGTATGGATTGATAAAGCAAGGGCACCATTCCTACAATTGAAGAACATATGGAACTCAAAACAACTGTCAAATAAAATCAAACTCAGAATCTCCAACACGAACATCACGACAATCCTAGTGTACGAAGCTGAAACTATGAGAATACCACAACCATCGTCAAAAAAGTACAAGTATTTATAAACAGTTGTCTACGCAAGATACCCAAAATCCGTTGACCAGATATCATTAGCAACAACCTACTGTGGGAGCGAACAAACTAACTTTCAGATGAAGAGGAAATCGGGAAATGACGCTGGAAGTGCATAGGACATACATTGCTGAAATCACCAAACTACGTAACGAGACAAGCGCTAACTTGGAATCCTGAAGGGGAAAGGAAAAGAGGAAGCCTAAAGAACACATTACATCGAGAATCAAAGGCAAATATCAAAGGAATGAACAGTGGTTGAAATAAACTGGAAAGGAGAGCCCAGGATAGAGTTGCTTGGATAATCCTGACCGGCGGCCTATGTTTCACGAGGAGTATGTAACTAAATATCGGTTACCCAACTTCTTATTTCTCTTAATCCATTAATTGCACCGTATACATATGATTTTAGGTTAGTTAACACTCACTTTTCCATCGCGTTCATCTTTCGTCACATCGAAATTGGATATGGCTTTCAGCTTAAAAGGCATTCATAAATTCTGGAAGATAAAACATATAAAGTGTTTACGTAACTGTAAGATTAAAAAACCGAATACACAAAAAACCAACTAAGAAATAATACTATATTTTACAATAACTTTAATAATGTAGATACAAAATGACATGAACTTTATTTAGATCGCGTTGTAATAGCTCCGACTGCAGAATCACTTCCAGACGAATGACGATGTTTACGAGGCAGTGGACTAGAAGGAGACGAACCCTGAAAAAAAATGAAACAGAAATATAGGGCTTCATAAACAAAAGAAAACATATGTTCTAAAAATACGAATAAAAACATTGATTTCATCCGTACTTTATAGGGACACTGAGAGATCTGTAAGAACAGCTCCACGAAAATTGGACATCACGTACACAGACGCGAAATTGTTAGGATGACTCATACTCTCACTATATACAAAATCAAGACAAACACAATTGAAGAACTTTTTGGCACAAAATTGTTTACGAATCTAATAATCTTGATTATTTGGTGAAGCTTGGGTTAGACTGACAAGCGAAAAGCCTGTACTGTTTAAATTTTAATTTCTCAGATAACTACAAAACTAATAAAATCCTGAAATTTGTTACAAGAATGGTGAATGAGGACGAGTCAGCTCAAGATGAGAATTCAAGTGAATTCCTGATTATCTTAAATTAACTTTCTCATCGTTAATAAATATGATTCATGTGTTATGAGAATTTATTTCGTACAGATTTAGTCAAATGGTGATCAAAATATCAACATATGTGAAAAGTTTAAATAAATAACTAAAACTTAAGTTTCTTAATAGCACTTTTTAGCAACAAATTTTTGTACATGAAATTAAATTCAGTATACTAGTGAAGATGAAGCTTTTACAACCGTTTATTTAGGAAGTAAGCTCTATGGTGCAATAATTATTTCTGTCCGGGCATCTTGAGTACATAACTTCACGATCCTATTGAAGTGACTACGAAATATTAGCTATACTAGATTAATGCCAAAAAATACAACTGCAGAGTCCTTACGTAAGAATAATGTGAAATTGATATTTCAAATGTTAATTGTATGTATCGCAAATGATCTTTCGATAGGGTGCAATGTACCTGAGGCACATGAGATAAAAGAGTAAAGAGCGGGGAAGTCTAACGAACCATACGCTATTAAAACTCCTTTAGGGTGGATGTTATTCGGACCTTACAGTGAGATCACAAGAAATATGAGTATTATAAATTATCTATCGTCCAAAGATAAACTAGTAACTAGATTAGATCAATTATATAAATAGCCTAACTTACAAAAGTTTGCGAACACTGCAGCCCACGTATTAACAGAAGATTTCGGAACCCCAAGGTGCAATGAGTTTCTAGATCGAATTCGTATGTGTAAGTCGTGGCCCAGACTACTAAGGTACCCTATCAGTCCTTTGACATCTTCGTTTCGAACACTTGGAAGGATCATACCGCGCAAATGAGACCATGATACCATCTGAGATGTCGTTGGTACCGTCCGACGCAACATAGGAAGTCTCTTAACTGTCCATACATTTGGGATTCTAAATGATGAAGATGAATCTATGGAGGAAATTCCTAGTCGGACCTCCTTACAATGAAATGTGGACTGACTATCCAGCATTTTCAATAAAATCGTCTTGGAATCTCCTTCTAAACCCAACCTTCTAGCTAAATCTTCTGTAATAAGCGAAGCGTCTGAGCCACTATTTAGGAAAGCACAAGTCTGTACTGCTTTTTCTCCATTTTTTACCAATAAAGGCACTATTGCAAATGCTACTTGTTTCTGTACACACTTAACACTTTCCTCCGTACATAGTTGGGTATTAATGTGGGCATTAATATTACCATCTCTCTGCTCTTCCCACTTCTCGTGTAACAGAGTATGGTGTCTCCAGCCACACCCTTCAACAGCACGTGACCTCGGTGATCGACAATTTTTCGCCGCATGGTTTGCTTTCAGACAAACGTTACATAACTTATGCCTAAAGACGAATTCTTTCCTTTCTCTGACATTTCTGTCGTTGAACTTCTGGCATTGATCTAAAGAAGGATTGCTTGAGCACTCCAAACAAGATGAACTACATAAGGGGACGTTGCCATCACTAGTACTCGTATATGATATCCTTGCTGCATTGTAATTTGCACTAATTTTCCCTTTCGAAACGCCAACATCCCTTTTATCACTATTATTACCGCGGACGACAAGTAGGACGTATCTGGTATTAGCTATATCTGACTGTTCCTTTACAAATTCGCAGACGTCCTTGAATGAAGGTTCTTTACCTGTCTTAAGAATTCTACATGCAACTTTAACCCATTCTCTTTGCGAGTGTAGTAGGAGTTTTAAAAACATGCATTCGATAGTCTTTGTAGAATTAAGATTGGATACATAGTTCATCTGCGCGAGTGTTAGCTCACAAATATGCATCTCACGAGACAGTCTTCTCAAATTATCTGGATCAGTCCCCTTAATAGCAGGTATGTTCAGCATCTTATCAATAAGTGCATGGGCTACCATGTGCTTCTGACCAAATGCTTCCTTGAGAAGCTCTAACGCTTTACGATAGCCTTCTTCTGGCTCGAGCAATGAGCAATGAACAATAGTAGCTTTAGCTTCACCATCGCAATACTGGATCAAATAGTTTAACCTAGATCGAAATCCAACGCTCTCATCAAAACAGTCCTCAAAATTCCGTATGAAGCTCCAATAGTTCATAGGGTTGCCATCAAACCTTATGATCTTTTTCTTTGGTAGGTCTAAACCTATAGATATCATTGTTACCCAGTCCTTTCCAGGAGGAACATCAACTGCATGCGAGGCAGATGTAGACTCATACGTTATCGCCTTGTCAACCACAACTTGATTATAATGTTCTCTTCCCTTTTGACGTAACTGTTCTAACTCAATTTCTCTTTCTGTCTGAGCTAAACGTACTTTAGCTAATTCTAACTCTAACAAGGGATCCATTCGGTAGGTATTTCCTCCGAATTGGTTATCACTATGAGTTTCTGAATAGTGGGGAGACAATTCAGGGATATGATCAGTTTTATGATTCTCCGTAGACATTTAAAGGTACTCAATGTACGAATTCTTGATGAGATACTGTTCAGAACCAGATCTTGTCGTTACCGGAGTCTCCTCATTCTGATGCGCTAGCGTCGTTGATTCTTGAGACCCGTGTTTCGTTGGTACGACCGTCTTCGAGGGGTTTGTACTTGTCGATTAAAAATCACTATCGATGAAAGCTGGTTTCACTCGATCGATGCTGATTACATCTATCTTCCCAGCTTTTTCTACGGTAACCGTCTTCTCTGTCCTCGTAATCAATTTAAATGGAAAGTTGTAATTCGGCTGCAGAGGTGGTTGTACCTTATCTCTTCTAATGAATATGTGAGTACAATTATGTAGTTCCTGCGGTATGAACACTCGTCGTTGTTGTAGTCTAGGGGTATTATTTTAAAATCGTTCATGTGCTTCTTCAAGCGTTGCACGTAGTTGGCTACATCAGTTGGAACACTTTTACATGAAGCGAAAATTTCTCTGGGTAAACGTAGAGTAGTCCCATATACCAACTCAGCTGGACAACATCCCATATCCTGTTTAATTGTTGTTCTTAGACCCAACATAGCTAGAGGAAGCTTATTAGCCCAATCGTTGTTGACAATGACAGATGTAAAGAGCACTTTCGACTGCCTATGAGGGTATTCAACCATTCCGTTTGCGATTGGATGGTAGGATGTCGTTCGAATACGTTTAATTCCGAGGAGATCTATAAGCTGCTAGAAGAGTCGACTTTTAAATTGGGCTCCTCTATCGGTTGTGATAGTTGCTGGTACGCCATTGTAAGAAATCCAATTTTCGACTAGGGCTTTGGCTACAGACTCGACTGAGGCGTCTGTTATCGGTACTGCTATAGGCCATCGTGTAAATCTATCGATGCATGTAAAAATATAGTTGTATCCATTCGAAACTGGCAGTGGTCCCACGATATCGATGTGTATATATTCGAATCTAGTGTCTGGGTGAGAAAATAAACCGATTGCGGAGCTAGTATCACGATCTACTTTGAATTTTTGACACTTCCTGCATGCTTTTATCCACTTACGCACATCGCCATTCATGTTCATTCATACGAAGTGTTCGCTAATTAGCTTTTATTCCCGGATGCGATATGTTGTGCATACTTTCAAATATTTTCTGTCGCAATGGTTTCGGGATGAATGGTTGCGGTCGGCCTGTCGATAAATGACATTACTTTCGTGCTACCGAACTGAACCTCTTCGAATAATGATGATGTCGTGTCATCGGATATTAGCTTGTTTAATTCGATGTCTCTATCTTTCAAATTTGCCAGACCGTGATAATCGATTCCACTTGTAATTCGCGCGTTTATCGTTGTTTTTGATAGTGCGTCAGCTACTTCGTTTTCTTGGCCTTTAATATATTGTATATCGGATGTGAACTGGGAAATGAATCCCAACTGTCTGGTTTCCCTCGGGGACTAATTATCTTGCTTTGCTCTTAGTGTTTTCGTGAGTGGTTTGTGGTCCGTGTAAACAGTAAAATTTATACCTTCTACCATATGTCAAAATTGTTTTATTGCCAAGTAAATTGCCAGTAATTCTCTCCCGAAAGTACTATATCTCGTTTGAGTAGGATTCAATCTCTTCCAAAAAAATGAAAGCGGCTCCCGCGTGCCATTTACTAACTGTTGTAAAACGGCTTCTGCCGCCACATCCGATGCATCGGTCATGATAGCTAGTGGCGTTTCTTTGTTTAGTGCCTTCTTGGCGTTCTCGAATGCTTGTATCGCCTCCGTTAATAAACGGAATGTCCGGGCATGTTTTTATTTATTTATTTGAACACATAAATATTGGTACAAGAGAGCGCCAATATATATGCGCCACACAAAACAATGGGAATTCGAAGAGAAAAAAAAACTAAGGAACGCAAAAGAAGAGAGTAATGACGAAGAGGTACAATCAGAAGAAATCTTTCAGGTAAAGGAGACACAACCACTTTTTATGAAGAAAGTAAAAGAAGGTTACAGCAGCATCGCCACTGGATTCTATTCTGAGCCATATCTGATAACGTCTCTAGCCACTGTGTAGCACCATCTCTCGGACCCCAGCCAGGGAGTCGTGAAGGACCAACACAAGCCAGTCCTTTGCAGCTTTCTTTCATGCCACGACACCATGTCATGCACTGACCACCTCTCCGCTTCTTCCAACCAGTCCCAGAGTCGGCAAATAATGCACGACGTGGAATTCTCTGGGACGACATTCGGAGAACATGTCCAAGCCACCGAAGTCGGTGTTTCAAGATGAAGACACCAATTGAGTTATCATCTCTGTGCCCGAACACACGATGCCGAACCTCTGCATTACTGACATGGTGTTGCCACTGAATGTCAGCAATCCTTCGGAGACAGCGATGATCGAACACAGAGAGTCGTCTAACGTCCTCAACTCGGAGAGGCCAGGTTTCACAAGCATAGAGCAAAACTGCTCTCACCGACGCGTTGTAGATCCGGCCTTTTACAGCCAGACTAACATCACGAAGGCGCCAAAGGTGGCCCAGATTGGCATAAGCCGCTCTGGCTTTCACTATTCGTGCATTGATCTCATCACTCACACCCCCACCAGCACTTATGCAGCTACCCAGATACACGAACTTCTCAACTACGTCTATCTGCTCACCATCCAGGGTGAGTACAGGATTAGAATCCTGCCAGTCTTGTAGAAGTACTTTGCACTTCGAAGGTGCAAAGCACATACCATACCTACGGACATTGATTGCCAACTGATTAAGTGCGGATTGCATGCCTTGGGCATTATCGCACAGTAAGACAATATCGTCCGCATACTCAAGGTCGAGAAGTCTTTCTCCAGGCAACAGATCCACACCACCATTACTTACATTCATCAGAGCTGTTTCCAGAATGTCATCGATGGCAAAGTTGAAGAGGAATGGTGAGATTGGGCAACCCTGCCGTAACGGGTCCGTTAGTGGCTGCAGTAGTGCCACACAATTCAGAATAAAGCGTCTGTAATAATTTATTAGTCCTAAAAATCGTCGTAACCTCTTCCGTGAGTCGGGTAACGGATAATCTCTGATGACATCGACTTCTGCTGAGATTGACGCAATACCTTGAGAAGTTAGTGTGGCCTAGGAACTGCAAGGATCTCTTTCCGAACTCACACTTCTCAACGTTTATGGAAATGCCATGTCCCCGTAGTCACGTGAAAAATTGTCGTAGCTGCGTCATATGCTCGTCCATAGTAGTGCTAGCTACTAGTAAATCATCGATGTACGCGTATACTCCCGTCAAACCTCTAACAGCTTGATCGATGAATCGCTGGAAGGTTTGAGCTGCATTAGTTAATCCAAAGGGCATTCACAAAAACTCAAATAACCCTAATGGAGTGATTACAGCCGTTTTCGGCATATCTTTTGGCGCCACGGGAATGCGGTAATGAGCCCGAACAAGATCAATTTTCAAAAGGTCGTGGCACCTTCCATATCGGTAGTAATGTCGTGGATGTGCGGTACCGGATATCTATCTGCCATAGTTTGCTTGTTAAGGGCTCTATGATCTCCACATGGCCTGATTTCTCCATTCTTTTTGGGAACCATATGCAGCGGGGATGCACAGGGACTATTAGATGGCCTTATGATACCGAGTTCCACCAATTCTTCGAATTCTCGTTTCGCAATATTCAACCTTATTGGATCTAGCCTTTGTGGTCTTGCGTTAGTCGGTTGACCTTTCGTTACAATTAGGTCAACAATGGTTTTGTGACAATTGTAGAAGAACCAGTTTAATTAATACTATGTCTAAAATATTAGCCCCAATAGCGCTTCGTAGCCTATCTACCGGTCGTGTAAGGCGAACCCGAGAAAATCAGGCTGGTTTCAGATCGCTTGAACGCGGATGTACAGACTAAATATTCACTCTTCGGGAGATTCCGGAACAAAAACACACATTTCGACGCCCGACTATAGTTGTATTACTTAATCTCAAGGCGGCGTTCGACTCTGTACCAAGGTTTCCCAGTGAAAGGTGTACCAAAGATGTACATTAACCTTGTACAAGCTCTACCCGATCATCATTGGTCGAGTTAGAGCGTATGGAGAACTGTCATCTGAGTTCGTTACTCCAAACGGTATTGTCTACTTTCCCATTTTTTGTTTAACTTGATCATAGACATGCTTTTGGAGATAACACACATCATCTGAATTTTAAGGGATTGATCTATCAAGAGATTTACTTGTTGACTTAGAATACGAGATGATATAGTTCTATTTGGTGAAGACGGTAACAAAATGCAGAGTACTCTGACCACCTTAAGCAACAATGCAGGAATGTTTGGGATGCAGCTCTTTCTCTTCGAATGCGGAATGTTGCTTTAGGATTGGCTTGCGTCATCACCTGAATTAATCATAGGAAGTGAAGTAGTTGAACGCATCGACCGCTTTACTTATCATGGGAGTCTCAGCAGTCCTGATGGTCTGGCGTCTGATGAAACCTCGTTACGGATTCGGAAGGCTCAATTGGCTTTACCAACTTGTGGGGTAGGGGAGATATCTGTTTCCCAACCAAAAAACGAGTTCACTCCGTCCTACTTTATGGATGTAAAACATGGCCATTAAGAAAAGAGGATGTTCGTAGGTTACTGATACTTGGTCAAAAGTGTCTTCAAAGAATTGCTTGTGTAATCTGGTACCACGGAGTAAGCAATCCCTGGGATAGGTATGTGATACCAGATGAGGATGGGAAATCGATTGATGAGGCAGTAAATTTTCACCAACTGAGGTGGTTGGGACATGTGTTTGTATACCGAACTACCACTTACCTTTGTGGGCGATGTTGTTTGTTAAAGGATAGCCAAACCAAAACATGGCATTAGTCAATCCAGTCACTTACAATTGGAATTAGCCATGTCAGTAGGTATAGGCTGCCTGGTTGAGGTCTGTGTGCTTATCGTAACTATCGACTACAGACCTTGAATGACATGACTCAAAACCGTTTGGAATGGCTCACGTGCATAAGTTCTTTGTTTCAATTCTAAGATTATAAGTTTCTCATACCCTGTTTTGTTGTTTTTATCCCACTAATTTACATCTTTTCAAATCGTATCTTCGATGCTTAAACTTTCCTATTATTAGTATAAAAAGCCAAACGGTAGAGAAACAATCTTTTGAGCCACAATAACGCTTAGTAACTATCAAGGTATAAAACACCTAGTGGTGGACTTCGAAAAACGAACGCAAATGGATCAGAGTCACCAAACTCAACTAAATTATTATGTCCTATTACTGATAAATCTTGATTCCATCTTACCTAGCAGTGATTGGAAAACAATCCTAAGTATTATTCACCCCTAATCTCCAAAACAAGGCAACTCATACGCAACTCTTTTCCAATCAAAACATTTTTATACGTTTTCATTGATGGTATTTACAAAAATGTCTATGAAAGAAAGGAGTAGTAAAGGCATAGGCCTGTGATAAGGAAGAACACTCAAAAGAATGTTCAGTACTAACAAAGGCGAGTAAGAAGCGGGTAATACGTGAGCAGAATTGTATTTCTGAACTCGTGATTGCTGGATCTACGGTCAGACTAGTGCGTAATCCTAATGCAAAGTCTTTATTATTCGAAAAATAGAAGACAAACTATTATGAGAATAAAATCCTAACGGTTTTATGCACAATCCAAAACAAATTCGAATATGGTGATAAGTTTATTTTCAAAAAATCTGTGCTAGAAGGTAAATCCAGCTGCTAGAAGTTCCATATGTACTTTTTACACAAGCTCATGTGCTTTTGCTCATTTCCAAGACTCTTAAAATATATTCTGTTTCTGACCCTTTTGGGTTCATGAGAAGTCAATAGCACTGGAAACACTACGCACAGAACAACATAACACACATTTTCTCAGCTGATACTCTTATAACCAAACAAACAAAATTAAATTAGCCAACTCATTTAACAGTTATTTGGGTAAAAGCTACACTCTAATTGAAAGATTTAATGACACTACGCAATCCCCCGGACCGAAGTAGATGGAATGGGGTTTGGATCTTGGTCCTAGTGGCTGAAAATCAAACGACCTAACCATAAAGCCACTGCTTTACTACTGCAAAACAATGAGATTAGAAAACGTAAGATATATGTGCATACGCTTACTTCAGGAGCAGAACGTTTGTTTTGCTTGATGAAAAAACTAGAAGACTGCTTGCTAGCATTCGACTCCTCATCTTTAAGCACACATGAAGCAGGATGTGAAGGACTAGTAGTTGGGGCAGTCGACACTACAATAGATTGCTGTAAGGAACGCGTAGTCTGTGGAGGAGTTAGATTCAATAAAGGCAGAGATGGGAATCCTGGAATATCCTCAGCCATAATAGACCAAAGAGGTTGAAGCTGCAAAGTTTCAAGAGATTTATATGGAAAATCAATCTTTTGACAAAGTCAGGTTATTAATTATAACTAATTATCACCAACAAAACGCTCTCAAAAAGTTCACAAAACATGGAGTCATGACCAGCAATATGACAAACAAGAGGATAGCACAACCACAAAAATAAATCAATAGGACAATGACAAAACAAACACTCGTCTTTGATGAAGAAAAAGAATACTTATGACTTCACACAATCACAATACAACGGTTATCTGACCTATGAAACAAAGTGCACACTTCAAATGAGCAAAACAATCGTGATATAAAAATTAAGAATAAATCAGAAACCAGGTACAGACCTGCCATACATGTTGTAGGAGGATTTGACTATAATTCCTGGTAGTTGAAAATATGGAACAGGTGCTCGGATTAACTCAAACTAGTATTATTGTGACCTTCCACATCTAGATATTATTACGGATTTTGCAATGTGACAATGTTATGAAACTTAAGTCTATGCCCATTAACCTGGTACAAAACGATAGCATAATACAATAAATACCGTGATAACTACCCATAAAATTGTCGTTTCCTGAGAAGTAAATGCTCTTTTCAAAGTTTCAACTCCTTTGTTTTTCCCTGTAACTGCCATCGTTAAAGTGTTGGTGTGTAAGAATCGTCCACTTTATCTAATCGTATAGACCTGTTCTCACATTGAAGGTATTTTCCGATCGTTGCAATCAAATTATACAAATCATAACTTCGCGAAAAACGAAATATGACAACTATTTTCGAAAATTTGTCTTGCAGATACACCTAATAGCAAAGCATTTTATACGTACTGATTTTTAATAACAGAAAGATATCAATATGTGTTCGGCAAATGAAAAGCACAGTATTCCAGTTTATCCGTAATTTCGAAAAGGAAAATTTCTGATTACAATCATTTAAAAAATCCTGATTTCAATATGCTATTACTAAGTTGCTCAACAAAAGAGAACTGAAAACTTGTTGAATACATAATTTTACGGGAAATAGAGTGAACTGATGTAAAGAATAGAGAAATATTACTTGAAGCTACTTGAAGTGACACAGAGCTGTGAATGTTAAAGGTTGCAAATAAAATTACTATCTATTAGAACTACCAAAGTCGGTAAAATACTGTGCGCAAAAATAGCATTAAGATAAAATAATAGAAAATGTCATCCAACACTAATCATAAACTATTTACAATTCGAGGATGACATTATAACCAATTATATACCAAAAAGGTTTTGATTAAACCGCATAGCCTCGTTGTTACTTCTTTGTTAGATCACCCTGAACCATTTTTGATGTAACTAACCAGTAGAAACAATTAAAACCGGACATATTTGTCTTATTTAATGAGACTTAAACACCAGAAAGGATTTAAAATCCAAAAATTTCAAGATGAACCTAGATGTTAGAGCTAATGTATACATCATGCCATGGAAGTTAAGATATAACATATTCGGACTCGTGATTACCACAAAATGCTAAACTCTCAGAAACGACAAAAGATGGTCAGTGGTACTTTCAGAGTTCGATAGTCTGAAATGACGAGATAAAATCATGTATTCACTCCTGATGTAATCCATAATCTAATATGACTAAATGAAAACACGTCTAGGAAATAATAAATAACTGTTTTTTCTCAGAGGGTCCATTCACAGTAGTAGTCTTCAGTGTCACAAACAAAAGACGAGTTGTACTGAAGTGAACAAAAATTGTGGGCAGTAAGTGTCCCACTTATGTCTTCACAATTCTAGCCACATGTGATAAATTCAGTGGGAAACAGGAACTAATTTGGATAATCAGACAAAAAAATTTGATTGGTGCTAAATATATATATATATATATATATATATATATTCCCCTGGAAAAATAAGTAACAACCGGATGTACCAAAGCAAACTAAAAGGACATCAAATATTATCTTACTCAATCTTTACATCCTCTCCCTATAAAAGAATAACTAGAAAAGCTATGATGATATTTTAAGGAACTAACGCATTTTTATATGATTTATACTAACAAGCTAAAAGGAAACATGAAAACTATACACAATAGCTACAAAATAAGATACACAATATTGAAGTAAGTATCCAACTGAAACAAATTAAGGAATGGGTAAGGAATAAGGTAGAACTAGATAGACATCTGAAACCATTTTCGTCATGATGGGCTTATTCCCTAAGTTACAGTCGACGTAGAGCCTGATACAAATGTGTGTTAGCCCAAGTGACCATACTATACCACGACAGAGATGAAATAAAAATATTTAAAAAAAAAAAGTGAAGGGATCAAAATGACGCAGTATCAATGAAAATGACTAAATACTGGGAATGATTCGAGAAGGGATGAAGAGGTATACAAGAAGAGATAATGTAAGAGCTAACAAGAATAACTGCGTCTTAACTACTACGTTAGGTTCTGAGTCATGTTATCCAGAATTTACAACCACTGGTCGAAAATATTACGCATACTCCAACTACCCAATCGGACAGCTAGTTTTAGTTTTTTAATATGCAATTCCTCACTATGACCGCTTGACAGTAAATGATAAAGATCCACCACTTACTTCACTAATGACGTCATGATACATCTCCCCAGCCATTCGGTGGACTTCGTGATTTTGACTATTGTACATTCTTGCATTCATAAACATTAGCAAAAGATCACGAATGAAACGTCTTGCGATCTCAATGATAACTCGATAAGAAGAAACAGATGGATTTAGAGCAGAAGGCTGCTGAGAACTGATCAAGTAACTGAGTGACGACTCCATACGGCGCCTAAGGGACGTTAAGTCCACTGGCTCATAAACAACAGTACTGTACCCGGGAGCTATATCTTCAGTTACAGGATGCATAAACACATAAGCATGACGATGGCTGTACACCGTAGAAAGTGCTGACAGAAGAGATCTTCTCCATCGTCGAGCCACACAAACTGATGACTGAGATGTATCTGTAAGTTCATCATTATTGAGACTGGTAGATATTGAGGGACTGAGAGCTATTAAATTTGAATATGAAAACGAATGAGTCATTATTAGTAAACGATAAAAGAGACATCAGCGTACGTCAATAAAACCCTCCTGAGATACAAATCTCTCATAATGAGTACAAGATACAAAATTGGATAAATTATGAGTGTATCAGTGTATTGACTGAATAAAATTTATAACAATGAAATAAAATAATACCTGAAGTGAACTCTCCCACTTGGTTTTGATAAACAGGAGCAGGAGTCGATATCTTCCTCTTTGTATGATTATGTTTTCGGTTCAGATTAACGGCTTTAAAGGATGGTGATTGAGTTTCCGCAAGACTTAGTGCAGGACTTGAATTAAGGCTCTGAGTAAAGTGCGGAGAAGCCAGTGTTTCTGAGTCACTTACAAGAGCGGAACTACTAGGAGTAATTGGTTCATCCAGGATCTCCAAACACTTGGAAGGGCTTGTTTGTATTCTTATTTTGCTTGAGTCACTATCTAAGTTATTAAGCTCTTCAGAAGCTCTGGGTGACTCTTCGACTTTGACTTCTTGATTATGGCTAGTTGTAACCTTCGAATGTAAATACGCAAGAAATCGAAATACAAATTACCATAGCGTTTATTCGTAAATAAACTTTCAACAAGTTAAATTATATGTGAACATAATCGGTGTGTTTATTTATTAATGTATTTCATAGTATTCGCAACTTCGTAAAAATATGTACATCAAACAAATGTCACATTATTGATTCTAATCAAGAACAGCAAGTTGAAGCTGACAATAAACATGTTACAAAACGATTTTGAAATGAGTGATAAGCTAACGTAATACACACTTCTGAAAGGTAAAGAAGTGATCTAAATTCTTCAGTACATTATGCCTATATCTAGTTATACATCGCATGTCGATGAAACTAAACATTTTGATGTAAAATATCACTAAAAATAGATACACAAAAAGAATGAATAACTTTGAAGTAAGCAATAATTTTGGTGGCTCTTCGGTATTTATGCAGGATATACTATCAAATCACAATAAACCACAAGAAAAAAACAGGAACGGTTGTATATGTATACCTCTGAGTGAGTCTGGATGGATGATGTAGTATCTAGACTTGAGATTTCATCATCATGTCCTTCGAAACCCAGTCTTTGTGAAATAATAGCTATCAGTAAAATGAGATAAAATAAAATTAAAAGAAAATAGTGAAAGTGATTTGTAAAATAAATGGGTAGAAGTCTAGGACATGGTCACAGAAACCATACTTACCCCAAAGCTAAAGAGCATAACAAGTAGTTCCTAAAGTTTTAGTAGAGAGACACTACCCAACATCTCTTCTCAGTTCTCGTATTAACTTCCGCTTGTTAAGTTACTCTTAAGGTCAATTATTGATCCCACAAGTCCTGGGTTCGATCCTTGGTGTAGTTGTGGGTGTATATTCCACACGAATCCGATATTAGAAAAGAAATGTTCAGCACCCCCTGGTATTTTATGTCATCTCAACAAGTATTCGTCTGAAAGAGAACACCTACAAATATCCTGATGAAAACATCTGGTGAACACATAATGTAGGTGTATCAAGTGGGTTAATTTGGGTGATCCACTCGTGTTCTCAAAGACTTGTGACTCGCAATTAATCTCAAAAGAAATGCAACAGTGCCGACTATTCAGCTATAATCATCTCAAGAATGGGGTACTACACATAAAGCACTACATTAAAAATACTTGCCGATTATTGTAAGCGACAACTTAGAACGATAGCATATTATGATGTGGTCAGTTTCAAAACCCGACCGTTGTTGCTACCTTGACGTGGTGGTCGGGCTTGCCTATCGTGATGAAGCAACCGAGCTATACTGGCTGGAACAACCGTTCCTCAAGGTCCTACCATGTCAGACAGGTCGGTTGAAGAGCGGTAAGACTAAAAGCAACAAACCTAAGGTCCGAAGGCGAAGTCGTACTGCTGACTGTACAGAGGTGTGACAGCAGTAAGGTGTTTCCTTCAGACAACCAGCATGACAGCGATGCTGCCTTCCCACAAGGAGGGGTGGGGTTAGAAAAGGTCGACCCTAAAAATGCACACCTCACCTTACCTCACGGATTTCCGTCTCCGGCGGTAAGGCCCTTTGAAGAACGGAGCTAACACGTCAAAAACCTCCTACGAAAAGGCCGTGCGCGACCGGTCTCAAGCAGTTGTCCCTTGGGCACTGCGGTCACGCTCTCAGGTCACTAAGACCACCTTTAATCCAATTTCCTTTTCAGGTACCTCCAGAACAACCCTTCCACCGTGTGGGCAACCGGGAAGTGATAACCGCCCTCATACCTCTAACAGCACTCGAGACCACTGTATTCATAATCAACCTCCCTCTTCAATTCCTATTATTCCTCCTACATCGACTTTCAACTTTAAATTTCCTCTCTCGGCTTCCACCTCAAGTGTCACCATAGCCAACGATTCTAGTGCGCAAAACACTATCCCAGGTCTACTGAAACCTCGCTCCAAACTACACATTGGAGCCTTCAACGTACGCACCCTATGTCAAATCGGTCAGCAGGCTTCCTTGGCTAAAACCCTAGAGTCTCTTTCCATTGATGTATGCTGTGTCTCCGAAACACGCATACAGGATTCCAGTGTGGTTATTCACTTGACCTCACCTCGGCAAAACGGAGAGCCAACAAGATACACCCTTCGTGTATCTGGTGACCCGATGGCAAGTTCTCGTGGACTGGCAGGTGTAGGCATAGCACTAAGCATGAGGGCGGAACAAACACTGCTAGAGTGGATCCCCGTCAACAGTCGCCTTTGTGCTGTTCGGCTGAACGGCTACGTAAGAACTCGGAAGGATAGGGACACACGTCGTTGCCTTTTTGTCGTTTCTGCCTACGCTCCCACTGACTGCAGCTCAGATGAAGTGAAAGATGAATTTTACAGAAAGCTGTCCGAACTTCTTCAAAAAGCTAAACGCTCAGACATAGTACTCGTAGCAGGTGATTTTAATGCTCAGATAGGTAGCTTAAACCAAACAGAAAGGCATTTAGGTGGATATTTCAGTGTTCCGACACAGCGAACAGATAATGGTGATCGTCTGCTGCAGCTATGCTCAGACAATCGTTTATTTTTAGCAAACACAAATTTTAAGCATAAGGAGAGACATCGTCTAACATGGCGGCCCCCTACACCAAACCAACGATGGACTCAAATAGACCATATTGCCATCAGTCATCGTTGGAGAGGGTATTGATCTCTTTCCAGGAGGTCCACTTATCGACTTAGAATACGCAGATGACATAGTCCTGTTTGGTGAAGCCGCTGACAAAATGCAGAGTCTTCTGGTAGCACTAAGCAACAATGCCAGAATGTTTGGGATGCGCTTCTCTCCCTCTAAATGCAAGTTGTTGCTTCAGGACTGGTCTGCGTCAACACCTGAACTAAGGATAGCGAGTGAAGTAGTCGAACGCGTCGACAACTTCACTTATCTTGGAAGTCTGATCAGCCCTAATGGGCTGGTGTCTGACGAAATCTCAGCACGGATTCGAAAAGCTCGATTGGCTTTTGCCAACTTACGTCACCTATGGCGAAGGCGAGATATCCGTCTATCAATAAAAGGACGAGTATACTGCGCGGCAGTCCGTTCTGTCTTACTTTACGGCAGCGAAACATGGCCACTAAGAGTGGAAGACACTTGTAAGCTACTAGTATTTGACGACAGATGCCTTAGAAATATTGCTGGCATCTGCTGGGATCACCGGGTAATAGTGAGGTTAGACGCAGGGTATTAGGTAATGATGGTAAATCAGTTGATGAGGTTATGAATCTTCATCGACTGAGATGGTTGGGCCACGTATTACGTATGCCTGAACACCGATTACCACGACGTGCAATGCTAACCGGTGTAGGGGATGGTTGGAAGAAAGTTAGGGGCGGCCAAACCAAAACGTGGCATCAGTGCCTGAAGTCACTAACTTCTAGTCTGAGCCATGTTGGTAGATGCAGACTACTTGGTTGGGGTCCGCGTGACCATCGTAACCAATGGTTAGAGACTCTTGGTGACATGGCTCAGAATCGATCACAATGGCGTCGGTGTATACACTCCCTGTCTTCCCTTAAACTAAGAGATTAAAATCACTTCATATCTTTCTTTCTACGAACTAATTCTTTCTTCCTATACTATATCCTTATTGCAACCTTTGACCTAACCACTCCTATGAATCCGGTGTTCATCTTGCTGTGCTAATGAGGTATGGCAACCTGGACCGATGCACATATGTGCCTGGTCCTACGTTGTAGCTGACTGACTGAGTTTCAAAACGCTTTCCTAACACCCTGCGTCCAACCTCACTATTACTTATCCAGTGATCCCAGCAGATGTGAGCAATATTTCCAAGGCATCTGAGGTCGAACACTAGTAACCTACGAGTATCTTCTACCCTTAATGGCCGTTTCGCAGCCATAAAGTAGAACAGGACAAACGGCTGCGCAGTATACTCGCCCCTTAATTGACAGATGGGTATCTCGCCTTCGCCATAAGTGATGTAAGTTAAGAAAAGCTAGACGAGCTTTTCGAGTCCGTGTTGAAATTTCGTCAGACACCAACCCATTAGGGTTGATCAGACTTCCAAGATAAATGCTGTCGACATGTTCGACTACTTCACTCGCTATCCTTAGTTCAGGTGTTGACGCAGGCCAGTCCTGGAACAACAACTTTCATTTAGAGAGCAAGAAACGCATCCCAAACATCCTAGCACTGTTGCTCAGTGCTAACAAAATACTGAATTTTATCAGTGTCCTCACCAAACAGGACTATGTCATCTGCGTATTCTATGTTGATAAGTGCACCTCTTGAAAGATCAATCCCCGATAATTCAGTCGACAAAAACGTTGCATCCATCACTAAGTCAATGATGGAATTAAACAAGAATGGAGATAATAAACAGTCTTTTCGGACACCTCTTGACGTTGCAAAATTAAATGACAGTTCGCCAAGAGCTTTGACTCGACAGGTAGTGTTCGAGTAAAGAGCACTCACAAGGTTTAAGCACTTCTGAGGTACGCCTTTCAGTGACAGACACTGTCACAGCACCTCCTGGTCTACAGAGCCAAATGCTGCTTCTAAGTCAAGAAGACCACCATTGTCGGACGCCGATAAGCACGCCTGTGTTCTAGAACCTAACGAATGGTGAATATGTGGTCGATGCAGCCACAACCAGATTTGAAGTCAGCCTGATTTTCTCGTGTTTGCAGTTCACGAATCTTTGTTAGGCGCTCAGTAATTATTTAGGCTAGTATTTTAGATGCCATGTTAGTTAAACTAATCCCTCTATGGTTATTACAGGATGACTTTGACGCCCTTCTCACACATATTCAGATCAATCAGATGTGATTATGTCCAACTCCCAAATTTTAGCTAAAATATTAGTCAACATAACCGCTAGAACTGCACCACCATTCTTAAAGACCTCTGTAGTTAATCCATCTAGAGCAGCTGCTCTTTCTCGTTTCAGAATAGCTATAGCCTTATGAACTTCAGTGAAGTCGAAAGGCCTACTTCAATGTTTCATTAAGGCTGTTTGGAAATGGTGGGTAGTTGTAGAGTAGCTGAAGGCCAGTCGAACTGCCCCTTAAAGTGTTCCGTTCATCATTCTAAACGTCTGAGCTGAAAGTAGATAAGAGCGTCAACTTTTTTCCAAGTCGTTTCACTTACACTTGACTTCTTAATTCGGGTTTCTTTTATTAGTCTGAAAAGCTATCTGGTGTTACCTAAAGCCCCTGCCTTTTATATCTTTTGTTTTCGTTACCCACTACTGCTCACGGTCGTTCCTTATACCAATACAGTATATTCAAAAAATTGTCAAGTCTGCATGCATTTTATAATATCTTACAAGAGAATAAAGGGTCTGGATCTTCATGATGGGAAACAATATGCTTGGTTGGTTTCGCACTCTTTCACATATCTTAAGAATGATCACTTTCAATCTCATCATTAGGTTTAAATGTCACATATGGATAGACTCAGCGCAATTCTATTTCTTTCACTCAATAGTTAATGGGTGAAAGTTTTGAAAAAGACAAACAACTGGTTCCTTCGATTAATGCACTTAGGAAACTGGACTTTACGGGAAATGAGTTACTACGATGCATATCTTTAGTTAAAAATTGAAGGCCAGGTATTCATACCACTGCATAAATTAGTGCTTTAGTCCAAATATGTTTGTAAAGGACTTTGAGAGGGAATCACAAAGATGGATAGTGCTTTAAAAAGACAACAGAGACTCCGACACATAAGCAATAGAACTCAAAAGTAGGTAGCAGGAGATATTGCTCTAGTGTTTTTTTGATAGGACTTGTACATAAACCCCATGTTTCTACGGGAAAAATGTATTCTTAACGAGTATTCTTGATAAGTGTTACCTTGAGCACGTATGAAGTTGGCTAATGATGATTCCTGAATGTAATCACATCTCTCTTCGAATAGCCCATAAATAAAAGGGGTTCCGACAGGAATCCAGATACCACCATTCTGGTCAATTGTTTCTTTCTCAATTTTAGTATTTGGACGTTGTAGTGTAGTGGGAAGCTTCTTGACAGTTCGGTCATTTTCCTCTGAAACAGGAGACAACGGTTCCATATCTAAACAACGACCTATTTTGTCCGGAATCCCGAGCGCACGACATCTTTTTCTATAGCTGAAGAGAAATAAATATTAGTAAAGAGAGCTCACGTCAGTAACCGGTCTGGAGGTATTTCAGAATATCGGCCTTGTCGCAACTTTTCTGCATCCTCTTCCTCAATCCTAAGAGTTGACAATAAACCAGCATTTAAACCTCACTTCATAGCCCGCAAGATCTCCAACCGAGCAGCATGCAACTGCTCACGTCTCAATGTAGTATAATGATCTAATGAAATGTTTAAGAGTTGGCTCTCTGTTAAATCGCCTGGATTTCTAAAGAACTTTCAATCAAGCACAAGAGAATAATACCTTTGACGTGCGGATGCAATAATATATTTATATTGAAGCGAACAACTCTGTTCATAACCAATGAATTCAAATATATTAATTACCTGTTTTGAGAGATCCTGTACATTTTCATCTTTCAAGAACGTCTTGCAAGACGTTCTTAATGACTCACTGACAAGGTCCCAGTTTTTTCCATGTGTGAGAACAGCCCGAAGTAGGTAACAATTAGCACCCACAGCCCAATTCATTCGTCATATCTATTTACTGCTCTCATGTTAGCCAACCTTGAAAACAAATCGTTACCTGTTAACAAAACATTCATGATCCAATTTCATGACTTTGTTAACGGGCATTACAAGTTGTTTGACCAGTAGTATGATTTTCCCTTAGGATTCAGCTTTAAACAGTGAATCTGATGCCACTTGTTGGGGGAGGTTGTTTCAATCAGTAACACCCTGTAGGATACAAATTTTACTGGGTAAAATTCTGCACCTTCAGTATTCAGTAGTAAGGATAGTATGTTGGCGAACCTGTGTTAGTCCTGACAGATTGCTTTACAGTGAAGGTCCAGCTTCTCTTTGAAAATATTCACTGATGGGGCTGATACCACTTGTTCGGGTAAGGCGTTCCAATCATTGACTACTCGACGAGAAAAACAGGACCCCACTTTAAGTTTATTAGATCGCGGTTTGTGAACCATCTTCCTATGACCTCGGAAATTATTAGTGCTGGAGGGAGCAAAATGATAAGACATATTAACACCTAAATCATAATTAAAGATACGAAATGCCAGTATAAAGTCACCACGCGTCCCACGATACGACAAGGGGGAAAGGTTTAGGCGTTCTAAACGCTCATCTTAAGGGAGTCTAGAAAGACCCTTCGCTAATTTCGTTCCCACACGCTGCTTGGATACAGTACTCCAAATGTGGTCTTACATATATGGGATATAAAGTTCGAAACGTTTCCTCGTCAAAAGATTTGAACTCTCGGCGAAGTGACCATAACGCACGAAAACCTTTGACAGCGGCTGCTTCGCAATGCGTAGTTGTTTTTAAATCATGACATATCACTACCCCCAAGTCTTTATGTTCTTGAACACGTGGGAGAGGTTTACCCTCAATAGTATGACGGTAACTATTGCCGTGACCGATGTGCATTAGCGCACTCTTCCTAGCATTGATTTCTAAGCCCCACTCTCGAGCCCATCTAACTAAATCATCTAAGTCAGCTTGAAGATCCAGATGATCAGCCTCACTTTTTATTGTTCTCCAGATTTTTACATCACCTGCAAACAATAATGTCGACGACCTAGCAACAACGGTAACTGATTAACGTAGAGAAGGAAGGGCAGAGGGCCTAAGATGGTGCCTTGGGGTACATCACTTTTGACCGGCTTCCAATCGGATAGCGTTCCGTTGACCCTCACTCTCTGTTTACGGTCACATAAGAAGTTTCCTATCCACTCATGTACAGTACCTATTATTCCGAAGCTTGAGAGCTTCTACATAAGTCCCAAGTGTGAAACCTTGTTAAATGCTTTGCTAAAATCTATGAATATCACATTGGCAGACAGACCGTTATCTAGGGCTGCTGTCCAATCCTCTCTCGCAATAAGTTAGTCAAGCAAGAACGCCTGTTACAAAATCCATGTTGCTGGGGAGCTAGCAGATTGAGTGAATCTATGTGGCTTAGCAACCTAACCCGAATTATCTTTTCGAGTAACTTAACGACTATGCTAGTTAGACTGACAGGCCTGTAGTTAGATACTATCTGTCGCTGACCATCCTTAAATAAAGGACTGACTATAGCGTCTTTCCAATCTTCAAGGGGTTGAGCGAGTGAGAGGGACATGTTGAAGAGTGTCGTGAGCGGTTTTGAAATAATGTCCGCAAGAGATGACAACAATCGTGGATGTGACTCGTCAGGGTCCGGTGTCTTACCAGGTTTGAGGTTCGTTACCAACGGAATGACAGTTTCCTCAGTCAGATATACAGATTCGATGGTTGGTATCTCGGTGTGAGTGATACAAGTATTTGTTACAATAAACGTAGAGTAGACTTCGCTAAAATAGTTTGAAAAAGTCTCAGCTTTTGCCCGATCTGATTCAGCTAGTAAATCTGAATTTTCGTGTATCAGTAAAGGGGTAATACCATCACTACGCTTCATTCGCCGTTTAACATACGAAAACAATCGTTTCGGACAAGTACGGCTATCATATACCAACTGTCGTTCGTAAGTAGTACGGGAATTAGCTATGATTTTCTTACAAATGTTCCGGAATTTTCGGTACACACGCTTAAATGATGCGTGACCCGTCATCAAGAATAAGTCCCAGAAGTGTTTCCTACGCTTTAACAGCTTCCGGGTTTCCTTATTCATCCATGGAGGGCAATGTGATAGCTTACGTGCTGACCATGGGATAAACGGCGACATTACGGACTCGAGTGTAGCCTTAAACTTATTCCATTCGTCTTCGATCAATCCATCCACGTCGACCGACCAATCAGTCGAGATAGCACAGTTTCTGATTTCCGGAATATTAGCTTGCCAGATATTGGGACGGGGTGGAGCAGATACAAATCGTATACCATGTGTCTTAAACTTAAAGTGAAGTACAACGTGATCACTGTTCACTGGTGGGGGAAGGTGCTGAATATCAAAGACATCCTCACAGTGGTGGGTGAGGGCGAGGTCCAGCAGTGACGGATCATGTTGCAAATCAATATGTGTCGGTTTTGTGATGCATTATACAAGTGCACACTGAATAACGGTTGATAAAAGGTCGCTTTCGAAACCACCACCTGGAGCTGTAATCTCTATCTAGTTGATAGGCAGTGCGTTGAAGTCCCCAATGATGAGACAACATTCTTATCACAGATTCCACTAACTGCAGATCGTGTGCATGTCTTTTGGCAGGGTCATTGTCTTTCGACTCGTCTAGATTCCGAATAATTAAACTAGGAAGGGGTTCAGCTCTTTTTGAAATCGTGTTCACGGCTTTCGATCGTGATGTTAGATCCTGCATATTAACCACTGGCATCTTACCATTAGTTTTTATTGTAACAGAGTAATGGAATTCGAGCGAGTTACTCACAACAACGTTGGACGAGGCTTTACTTTGGGAATTCGGCGGAGTAGTCTGAGAGTCCACCAAGGACTTCGACATTGCCAAGATGGATTACATATGTAAGTAAGATTTCTTGATGAAACCCTGACTTGTACTGGTACGGTACGCGTGAACACATCCGTGCCCCACTTTGACAGACCCTCCATGTGTCTAAACCATATTAGTCTCTAAGATTAGTTTCCTTTTCTTCTTCGCAGTTGCATTAGGTGTGTCTATGTAGCTGTATGACCCTCCTTACATTTTCCTTGAAGTAAACAGATAACCCACTGGACCTACCGATACCACCCAACCATAGTCCGTCTCATAAAACCAATGTTGTATATTACAGATCATGCCCATGAAAATGGCGTGTATCTGCTACAGAAGAAACATACATCGTTTTACGGATGCAAAATATGTGGCTTATCAAAGTAACAATTACAGCGGTATTATGGAAATTTCCGCGTATGTTTGGAGTGCGGGGAGAAAGGTATTTTAACGTCAATTATCAACTATACATTTACATTTTACGTCAGTTCCGTCAGAAATGACAACACTACAATAGTTAAAATTTATTATAGTTGTATGTTAGAAACTTATATAGATTAAAAAATAATTTGAGGTAGTATTGCCCCTACTTGCACTTACTCAACAACAACCAGGCATCCTTGTTTATCAATATTTTGTGAAGTGGCAGGCCTGATTTTACTCAAAAATTGAAACAAACCCCTATCTATGACTTGATACATTGTGGATTTTACGTCAGTTATTAACTATAAATTTACATTTTAATATTTCGAATTATGTACAAGTCAGTTTTTTAAATGATGAATCATGCCTGTCAAAATGTTTGTTGTACTCTGATCATGAAAAAGAAAATGTTCCACACACTCAGGGAGTTGCTCTGATGCTGGGCAAAGAACGACGTAAAGCACTCATAAGATGTGAGTCACATGGACCCAGAATCATCATATTATTTTTCAAAACAACGAAGGATAGAATCACAATAAATGTTATCTCGTGGTATTCCAAAGAAGCGGTGCATAACTGGAAACAGCAATACAGAAGTTCAATACAAACTTTCTATTCAAAAATGCTTTTAAAACAATTACATCCTATATCAACAAAAACACCAAGTCCAAGCTGTGAAAACTAAAAGGATGTACCACATATCAAAATACTTCAGTGCCATGCACCAGATATACTCTGTATTTGAAGGGGTGTAAAGTCAACACAACAAACATAAACAGGCAGAGGGAGGTACTGCGCTCACTGCTGCATCTAAAGCCCAGACCTTATGTCGTCTCATTGAAAAACGCATAAGAAAGAACGCAGATCACAATATTCACTCCTTACTACACGATGATGTGACATATTATGACCAAACCGTCATATTAAAGCTGTTAAATGAATGATTTCCCCACGATGAGAATACATCTCATGCCCCAGATATCAGCATAAAGTGCAACAGTAAAAATTATCTTAGTATCTTAACTTTGATCTTGAGAGAATACATACTGCCATCAAAAACCTCAAGCTGAGTGCAAGTTCTGGTGCCGATGGCATCCAATCAATCCTTTATAAAATGTCAGGACCGGACATACAGACTCTGTGACACAAAATATTCACATCATTAGAGGAAGGTACACATCCCGAAACCTAGAATGTAAAGTATGCAGTCCCCAAACACAAATCTTGACCAAGAAACCTGATCGAAAACTACAGACCTATAAATATCACTCCAGTTAAAACACATAATGGAAAAAGTGATAAAAATCCAACTATCTGATCACCTACCTAAGAAAGATCTAGTAGACCCGTTATAGCACGGCTTTATCGGAACAAGGTCCTGCAGCACATGCCTGGCAGACCTCGTCAACGAGATTACTCGCATACGTGACCAAAAGAAACTAGTGGTTATACTAGATTTCGATATTAAGAAAGCTTTTGATAAAGTACTTCATAATCTCTTAATCGGCAGACTTTAGTCACGTGGAGTCACGAACCCCCTATTGTAATGGATCAAGTCTTTTCTCACAAACAGGCACCAAATAACCAAGATTAACTCTACAACATCTACACCGACCAATAACCAGTGGTGTAGTCCAGAGTGGTGTCTTGGGTCCACTGCCTTTTACA